ATTAAAGACACATAAAAAGAAAAATTTACTTGCATGTTCATTTTTAGTGATATTAAATAAATATATAAATAAATGTATGTTTATAAATAATAAAAACCATTATTGTACAGAAAAATCATAAATTTATATTTAAGAAAATATTACAATTTTATTTTGTATAAAACATAATAACAATGTTTTTAAATCATTATAATCATCACAATTATAAATTTGTAATTTTTTGTTATATAAAGTATAACATAATACACAAGAAACAATTAAAAACTTAGAAATAAATTTACCAAAGATAATATCACAAATTCATATATTATATATTGTATATGTATTTTGAATCAATTTTTGTTTTAATTATGTCTTAAAATAAATATGTTGCATGTTAATTCAATAAACATTAATTTTATTCTTCATTCTTTCAACTTTTTTGATTAAAATTATTTGATAATGTATTTTCAGAATGATCACCAATATTATTAATATTTATAAATGAAGAAGTGAAATTATCTGCTTGACTAACATACTTTATACGTTCAAATATTTTTCTTTTTTCTATGTTTACAAAATCTTTATAATTAAAAATAAAATGAAATCAACATATCTTTGTCTCATCTATTCTTATTCTTTTTAAATACAAAGTAATACTTTAAATTGTTTCTTAAGTATTAAGTTATTTTCTATATTTTAAAGGAAGCTTAACTAATTTATTTTGTTAAAGTATTATAAGAAATATTGTCTTATGATCATAATATAAATTTACCAATAAACGTAGCAGATTTTATGTAGCAGACTGTTTATAGTTCTTTGTACTCATTAATTTCTTGCCACACATTGCACATATAGCCTTTTTATATGCACACGATTGACAATAGTGTGATCCAACTTGATGTACTTTCTGTCTACATATTCTGCAAGTCTCAAAAGTAGCAGTATAAGGATTAAATCTTGCCTTTCCTGCAGAAAGTGCTTTATTTTCTCCAACTTTACGTCCTCCACTTTCTACTGTATTCCTTGCGCCATTTTTCCAAGGATCTGGAGTTATGACTTTTCCTAATTTTTTTTCACACTTTTCACAAACCATTTTGAAGCTTACAATTTTTGTTCTAAAATATAATAAACTCTCATCATATCTGATATTTATAACACATTGTATCAAGTAACAAAAAAAATAACATATAAAATATATAATGAATGATGATGCATATGATAACAATTAGTATATGATACCATTAAACATATAAATTTTTGTTAAATAATTTAAGTTAAAATATTTGCAGTTTACCTTTAATTTATCTTCCCTGATAATTAAACATTTTCACTGATAATTAAATATTATATTTTTAATTAGTAATTTGGTAACATTTTATATGACTAATTAGCATTAGTTTCTCATTGTAAGCGATATTAACTCCAAAAAAAGAAATATCTAACCTAAATACACTGGCTACATTGCAATCAGTTGCAAAACACATAAATAGTATACCTATAGGTTTAATTCACTAAGAGATGGCGCTTTTCTGATTCAGTTAATGTCAATAAAAACCACATCTACACATGTGTGTTTATGTGTATATATATGTGTTTGCACACAAATAAAAACAAAACATATTGTAATGGTACTACATTTTTAAATATATTTACAAAAATATATGCAAAAAGGAAGAAGAAAGAAAAAAAATATTTAAAAAATTATAAAAATGAATTAATATTTATAACTATAAGTAGTAATATCTTAAATATTTTAGATATATTTTAAATGTCGTAAATATTATCATTTGTATATTGAATGTACAGGCAGCTTAAATCTATAAAAAGCTATATGTGCTCTGTTATTAAAACAAGTAAATTTATTTTATTAATTTATTAATTTATTATGTTGAAATATTTTATTACAATTTATATCTTAAAAATTTAATTACACAAAATCATAAAAGTTAATATACACGTTTAAAATTAAAATTTTAAGAATGTTTTGGAAGATTGTAATGGATATCATTTCTTCTTTTTCTTAAGATGACTGTAATTAACTTAAAATATGCGTCACTTGATTTGAAACAGTGTCATTATTTTTTGAACAAAAGAATAATCTTTTTTTAAAAAGAATAAAATATAAAAACTTCTTGAATTAATTAAAAATTACTATTTACTTGTTAATTCAATGGGGAAAAAAATTGATTCCTCTTTTATTGATGACTCTAAATTGTAACATATGTATATAGTCCTTCAAGAACATGAAATAAGTGAAACATAGAGTTCTAAATGCGAAGCAACAAAGTGCTAATATTTATGTATGTATGCATAGATAATATATTTCAAATATATTATTATCTCTAAATTCTTCTAAGAAAGAAACAAAATATATATTAATAAGCAAAAATATATATATATTATTATATACATATATCTATGTATGTTCAAAATAAACAATGTATTTATTTTTATTGTTTAAAATATTTGTCATAATATTTTCACTAGCTAAATTGTATGTCAGTCAATAAATATGTAATGTTTACTTTTACTGCTGTCTATTTGATTTTTATAAACTTTTTGTTTAAGTAACGTTTAAATAACCTATTAAATAGCGAAAGTATTTAAATAGTGTTTAGTATTTAGATTTTGTTTCTTTCATACTCAATTTATTAATTACTTACAACTATTTTAGAATAATACTAAGGATGTTATTTAAAATAGGGAAACTCTTATTTTTAATTGCTTTAGATATAGCAACTATACTAATTTTATATTAATTTTTTGCTCTTAATTCATTTGAATTCTATTACCATAATTTTGAAAATAAAAATAGTAATTTATAAAGATATATATTCTTTATGTAATTTCTAGGTAATTTCTATAAAGAGAAGAAAAATCAGTTATGCAAAAAAAAAGAAACAATAATTTATCTAAACGAGCATTTAATAATTATGAAAATATGTAACTCATTACGATAATACTAAATTTTAATACTTGATTTTATATCTATACATTTGAAATTTATTTATTTTGTTACATACATAAAATTTTTATAAATTACATGAGGTTAGAAATAAATAAACTTATTATATACTGTTCCATATCTTTCCTTGTATATAATGAAATTATTCTTAATTATATTTTTGGCTTATTTTAAGTTCTAACTTAACATTCCACTCAAAATATCAACAACTTTCTTCATATAAAGAATTTTGCATATTCAAAATTGGCGCTGACTTTCAATAGTTTGATTAAAATCACACGATTAACCCTCTAGTCGAAAGCAGTAAGCAATGTTACTGGGGTAAGAGGGTTGAAGGAAAATTCGACGCTAGGGGTGGCGTACAAGTGTGGGCGCCATCTATTCGTTCAGTGCCTGACTATCCTCTGAAGACCTGTGTACTCGCGACCGTATTACTAGATTATTGCGACATTTCGTGTGACAATTTAATTTGTGTGCATCGTGTTATAATAAAGTGACAAGTGAACGCCTTATAACGGATACAACAAGGTAAATAGTAGAAATGATTATAAAATTTTCCTTAAAAGACTGAACTTTGTTCGGGTGGCTGCCATCCTCGATGCCAGACACGCGTTAACATGTTGGATCGATTCCTCTTTCTTGCAAGTCGTATTGCGATGGAAGACTCCAATAGAAGACCTGATTACGATTTTCTAGTCTCTTTTTCACAATAAAAACATGCATTTTGCTTCATGTTTCGTCCGCTTTTATCTAATTTACTTTTAAATTCATAACTCGATGTTTGAAGAATTCAAGTCACCCTCGAAATCTCTGGATGGAAAGACGCCTATAGCCAAAGCCCTTCTATTTTTTCGTAAAATTTCTGTCAAATACAGACAAGTTTAGTGAAACTTTTCTGATGTATATTCATTTCAGATGTAGGTTTAATTTGAATTTTCTTTTCATTTCTCGAATACAAATACAAATGAGACCGTATTATCAATTTCTCCTTAAAACTTTCCTTTTTTTTTTGAATATATAATTTTTAGAATATGATCCAGACAGACTACGAATTATTCCTATTTGTATGTCAGAAAATAGAATTTATAATATTCGCGATGCTCGTATTTTTAAAGAAACGTACTTACAAGTAACTCTGCGTATTATTTAAGTTATTAGTTAAAAATGTTCACAAGAATAATCGCTATATCTATCACATAAATTTTAATTAAAAATCTGGGAAATACTTTTTTTATAACATTAGCATTAAAATCTGCATTTGAGTTTATAATGAGGAATAAAACTATATAATTAATTGTTGGTCTATAATCTTTAAAAGTTGTATGTAATTATATAACTTTTAAAATATAAAAAAAGTTATATAAAAATGTTATATATAATTATATAATCTTATATGAAGTTATATACAATATTTTTTTTTGTTTCTATAAAAATTTTGCTAAAGTGATACATAAAGAATATAAAGTTTTGTTTAATTAAGAAACTAGTATTGAACAGTAAATTATCAATAAGTAAATTATAAAAATTATTAATAAATAATTAAGATTATTTAATTCAATTTTTACAAAAAAATATTGCAATATGAAGAAATTTTAAAATGTATAAAGAACAATATATTACAGTTAAACAAAATTTTTGATAATCATGGCAAACAATTTTAATATATAAATTAATATATAAATATATAAATAAGTTTA